GGCTCGCTTAACCTCCTATCGCCGATCTCATGCTCCCTTAGCATCATCATGTCATCTATATATTCGCGTCACTAACATCGTCACCATTTTCTAGAAAGCTTAGCTAATCCTCTTCTAAAGTGTTATTTTTATCTAAAATAATCGGGGATGAGAATAAAAGGTAAGTGAGGCTTCTTAGGTCCATTTTGGCGAGGTTGAAAAACCGGCGCTTCAGGACTTTGACGGCTTTTCTAACGCTGCGAAGAGTGAAGATCCTTTCTGGTACATGATGTCACTGACGGGGTGGAGGTTGTGAAAAGGCAAGGTCGGAGGAGTCAGGAATGAGAATATTTGTATTATGGGAATGGCGATCAAATCACTTACCAAGAAGAAAAGCATTCGCAGACTAGCGAGGCCTCGATGACTGCGAAAAAAAAGATCGGCCTGAGCTTTGCCTCGTTGTAGCAATGGCTCCAGCACTCGTTTATCTGATCTTCAGGCCTTGAGTTGAAGTGTCGCGATACGACAGAGGTACTTCGGCATCGGAGGTTCGGAGTGTACCGTTTTAGTCGCTCATCCGACGAGAAATTAGGTCCCCAAAGACTGGGGTCATCAACTAGCGCCGCGCATTGAGGCAGATCTGGTTTCAAGGCGTAGTTTGGAACAGCCCCAAAAACATAGTGTCTACCCATCTTTTCCGATATGAGTCCGCAGCTTGATAATGATCGAGGAAATTTGAAGGTCCCCCCAATGGTTCGAAAGGGGGCAAGCTCCACGGTGTACGCCCACAGTCCTCCATAAGCGACTTCGGAGTTTTGTAAAGAGGTTGCACAACTGTCGTAATAGCTCAGCCCAAACCGGTTAGGTATCCTGTCATTTATGGAGTCATCATCCTCACCAATAGGTTTCACCTCCCCTCCCCCAAAAAGGGGGGAGAAACCTATTTTTTCCAAATTGCTTTGCACATTAATATAGGTATTTCTTGGCAATGATATACCCCACTTATAGTTGCAATCAAGACTATTAGGATTGTTAATGGAGCATGACTGGGAGAATGGCCATCCCGCTCTGTCTTGGCACTGGGCAGGTATTTCGGAGAAGACACGTTGAAGAAAAAGGGCGTGGCTTTGGATCAAGAATACTTTTGATAACATATTTTGAATGTCGTCGTTGTATGCGCACTTGGCATTGATTGTGTCTTCGTCAAACTCGGTAGGATCGCAAAATGAGGTCATCTGCATGATGACAGTGGCTTGAGAGGCGTAATTCATGAGGAACGCGGCGATATAACGGTACCTTTGGCCGAACTTCATGAAGCCATCCCACTTGTGCGAACCGTCCTCCACATTCCTCAAACAGTTTTGAAAACTGTCGACGTTGCTCGAGTGATATACAGGGGGCGGGTACTGATCATAGTTCGTCCCCTCGGTCATCCTTTGAGGTCTATCCGTCACGCGGCACTTGTTGGCGTTATCGTTGATCCAGTTGACAACATCTATGCGAGAATTAGTCTTGCCGGAGACGGTGCCAAACCATTTGTCATAATCGGCATGGATGATATCCAAAGCGGTCTGAGATTTCTTCCATGCTCCGGTAAACTCCTGTGTTTTCCAATTTTTAACCTGGTAAAGGCAAGGAGGGTGTGGAACGGAGGAGGTAAATTCCATTTATGAATTTCTCACACGGGGCAAGGGAGACTGTCGAGTTGTATGCATGAAAGAAGAGACGACGCTTATTCATTGGGAAGCTTTCCTACTGGGGAATACGCGTACCTGCTCGTCGATTTGGGCTTGAGAGTTTCCCTTCTTTTGATTTCGAATGTAAGCCAAACTTCCAGTTCTCCTCACCAAGGTGTCGAGGTCGAGCATTTCGAAGACTACACATTCGTCGTATCTTGCCAGAAAGCAATCTGGGTCAAGTCCCGTGTTAAAATTTATCATGGAAGGCGACGGAAAGTCAATATAATTTGGGTTGTCAGACGAGCCATCTGGGGGATCATAGAAAAAACTCGAAAAGACAAGCCCTATAGATGCTACAATTGTGCGTGCTGCACCGGTCGGGGCGAAAACGGCTCCGATTACAGTGCTCGATTTTAGGAGCACAGATATCATGGATTCCAGATTCTTAGACCAACAGTCTGAACCTTTGCATTCCTTGATGAGATTTGCTAGCTCTCGCATGCTGTCTGCTGCATCCTTGTAGACATCTTTGGGGCTCATGGTCTTATTTGTTTCCCTTTCTTTTACATTCCACACTCTAGAGTAGGTTTGAATCGCATCGGACAGAGCGGTCTGAGCAGGGCCATTCTCTACTGCTTGAGCTGCACGATTAAGGGCATCAGCAGTATCATCCCTGGACTCTGCTGCGCTGTGATAGCTATCAACCCCGTGTTCTGACGCGGGATCGATGAAAAGAGAGCAGTGCTCGTACGTTACCGATGCATTACTGAGGGGATCAGCTCCTCGGAAAAAGCGCGAGAGCGGGGAGATCTCTTCCTGCTCAGAGGACTGAGCAAGTTCGTAGACCACAAGGGTCGAGTTGTCCTCCTGCAAGATGAATTGATGGGACGATAGGAGGACAGATATGAGGGGTCCTTCAAATGTCTTCTCCGACTGGTTGTTGTAGACATTGAACGTAAAGGCCGCGTTGGGCTTCTCGACGGGGAAGAACTCGTCAAAAAGATAGCCCACAAAATAGCTTGTGGGCAATACGTTAGCCTGCTGTAAGGGTATCTCTGTAAAAACGTATGTATCTGCATCCATATCCGTGGTGCGAAAGTAGTATCGTCCCGCTGCCCTTTCTAAAGTGCAGTGTTGCGCCATCTGAATGAAGAGAAGTCTCGGGGCGTCCAAGGTGTCCTGAGTTTCCTGCAGGCGAGCTTCGCACTCTTGAAGCTGTTTCTTCAGCTTCCTCTTGCTGATCCACCTGCGCTTTCGCGGTTTTTTAAGCAAATCACGCGCCTGGAAACGATCCTCACGGGTGGCATTCAGGGTGGTTTCTTGTGAGTCCGTCATAGTGTAGCCCAGAAATTTGTCAGGCTTGTCAAAAGGAGACGAGCCACGTCGGACTCCACAGCTGCTTATACCGCAGCGCTTTTCGCTGGACATTACGAAGTCTTGCAATCGGTTGTGAAGCCCATGCTTATCAAGGCCTCGCGAGGGTCGCAGGCCCGAAAGCCTTGTGGTTTGAGCCTCTATGCGCAATACTAGCGCGGCTAGCACAATCAAGCCCAATTTGAAGGGGACAGACGGCATGTTTTTCTGCTCTGTATGGCAAAGAGGAGGGAGGGTTGAAACATTCAGAACGTCGAAAGCACTCCATTAGAATGTTCATCTGCCAACGCAAGTGATGGCGACTGATATAATTTGAATGTTTTCGCATGGGAACGAGATCATACTCGCACTCCGTAGAACATGGAATGTGCCGTGCAAAGTCTTTCTCGGGTGTTCTGATATCAAGTTAAATTGACAACAAAACAAGGACCAAAGCGAGCCTCATATCAGCACTTTGGAAGCCAACACAAGCTACCCAAAATTCATTCGAAACATAGACTTGAATTAGTTTAATATAGAAGGTAGCATCTTGCTTAGAAAGAGGTGCAAAACCAAGAAAGAGGTACACAAACAGTCTTGAACCTGCGTGAGATCCCAAGGACTGACCACAGATTCGTCCTTTTCATGGTGTATTTCGAGGATTTTACCCGAGAATGAGCAATGAAAGGTGAATATTCATGAAGTACGAGATGTTTCTCTAAACGCGCAATTCTGGAAGCATTCGGTGAGTTCTCTGTGCATGTGCGTTTGACCGGGGTATGGTGATCTGTACCAGGCTCCAATTAGTCGCGCAAAAGCTTTCTCGAAAGTAACTCTCTGACCCTGCGGTCATCTTATGATTTAAGATGATAGAAGCACTATGGCATCGAAGGCAGCTGAAAACGCTTCACCGCGAACAAGAGTGACTCTTCGAGGCTGAGCAAGGAACTCGGGCGTTGTCAGATTCAGTTCTGCGATCTCATGAGGAATCGAGTTTTTCCAGTAGAATCAGAATTTAATTTAATCCTCCTACCTCCGGTAGACTGCATTCGATGCAATGCTCCGACTCCAGCAGAATCGCGGGAATTTCTCGAAGACCTAGATTTGTAAGTTTTAGCCGAATCTGGGTTGGCTTCAAGGCTAAAGTTTCGGTGAATCTCGGGAGGGGTCTCGAGGACCGGTCATCTACTCAGTTTTGGATCCCCCACATCCGGGTCGCCTAGCACTGACTTCCTCCGTCATTCCTTCGTCAGAGGAGGCATCGTTTGGCAGTTAATCTCACAATAGAGCGCAAATAAGAATAAAAATGTCAGAGAAGGTTTCTCTACATCGTGCAGTACCTGCATCTGCCTGCTGATGACGTGAGACAGGGCCAGGTTTGCATGTGCGTCCTCCCCTTCGCCCCTTCACTGCCTGACGATTCGATCTTCTCTTCCAAACTACTATCCATCAGGTCCCCAAGACAGCCCCCTTAAAGGAAAACTTCTATCTCCAGGAAGGGCTTTGGAGGGTGGTGGAAGCGCCGTATACGGTGGGTGAGATGCTGAATTGTTTCGTTTCCAGAATCACCAACGCGGCTTCTCCAACTTCGTGGACCAGCTTGGAAAGCGTGGCGAAGGACGTAGTCCCCGCAAACTTCTACACGCGGGTGAGGCACGCAAAGGTGCTGGCGCAGGGGATGGCAGGGATGGAGTCCAACCCGCATTATCAGAACCGGGACCACGGGGCCGTGGTCCCTCTCTAGCGCCACTACCGCGGAGGACCTACAGCACAAGTCGACTTACTTCAAACGCTTTCAAAACTGGATTCAGGAAAAGGATACAGAGCACATGCGCTTTCGCGTGGGAAGGTCTATCGTCCACGTGATCACCTCCTGGTGCAGCTGCAACAGCGGCAAGCGGGGCGCTGTGTGCCCCCACCACCTCGCCGGGTGAGAGATGTACCCCATCGTCGTCACCTGTATGCAGCCCCCCGCAATCTCGAACGTAAATCATGCGCAATTTATGCTGGTAGCAAAGGATGAGGCGATTCTGGGGACTGACCCGGCGTTGTGGCGGATCCCCGCGGACCTGAGTGCTACAACACTCGACTGCCAGGAGTCTTATCGGCGGCGAACATTACAGGGCATCGGGCGGTTGCCACGATGGGGCACAGAGAGGGAAGTGATAATAGCGGCTGTGGAGATATGCGGGCGATACCGGGACACTGGGGCCGCCTTCCTGTGTGAGGTAGCTGAGGAGGAGGAGGAGATGGCGCCCGCGTCACCCCACCTGACGTCGAGGGTAGAGAGAACAGGCCCCTTTTTTGGCACGAAATATATTGTGGATGAGGAGTCTACTACGGAGGGAAACTCCGAGAGGGTGCAACAGGGATCACTTCCTGGTGGAGATGCTCATCTTGATCACCAGGGTAATGATGAACACTTCCACGTAGAGGATGCTAATCCTGTGGGCGATGATGACAAGGGAACCGGCACACGTGACTCACGGAGCCGTAACCTTCCTTTCGGAGTAATGGTTGTCCGAACTCCGTCCCCGAACCTCCTTTCTACCTCCTCGTCTCTGGAGCGATCATTCAGTACCTACTGTGTGCTTTGCCAATTTTAGTACGGATAGTAATCCCTCTCAGTCATAATCTACTGCTCGTGCGCTTTTCCAATGCTGGCACTGCTACTGTTCCCTGCAGCTACCCTCGCAGTACTTGTTTTTGCTATGCTTTTCGCATGTTGGGACTGCTACGATTCTCTGTAGGGACCACTCTGAGTATAAGTCAGTACTTGGTAAAGCGTAGAAAAGCGCTATTTTTGTGCAGCTCGCCAGCTTTACTACTGCTACTTTTCCCTGTAGCTACAACTCAGCACTGCGCTTTTCCAATTTCAGTACTGCTACCGCTCCCTGTAGCTATCAAGTCTGTGCCTCTCGCTACTACTACTGCTACAAGTATTCGTGCGTGTTGCCAATGTTGACGGCAACACCGCTGCCATTACCTGTACTGTAGTACAACTCACTGGCAGAGCTTATTTTTTGTGCGATTTGTCAATCATTGTAGTACTGGTAGTATCTACAAAGCTACTATCTTTTCTCTATCAAATCTCACCCTACATGACACACATCATGGCATTAACAGGACCAAAAAAATTCTTTACATGATGTCTCTGCCGTCCAACACCGCCTCGATCGACCCATCAAGACTGAGCCTTTTTGTAAGAGTATGTGCAGAATACATCCATCGCTACGGGCCCCTCCGCCTCTAGACAGACTAAATGCTTGGTACCGAACTTTTCTAAACGTGTGTGGCATAAAGATTAAGTCTAATTTTAAAAAGGAAGAGATCTCGGACAAGTACTGGGAGGCCATCAAGTGTGAAGTGCGCACTCTCCGGAATCATGTAAGCTCTTTTCTGACAGATCATGCATGCGCTATACTTTTTCACCGTGCTTCTTCGCACAGATAATACCAGAATCAGGAGTTGTATGTCTTTGCCGAAGAATGTGGCGGTCCTGTTTCTGGAGCTCATAGGCGACGCCAACATTCGTTGGCTTAAAAATATGACCGACGAGGAGAAGACCGACTTTGGGCGGCTCTTAAAGGACTTCTTGAGTGCCAACCATCGGAAAGAGGATGCTGTAAGTACGAGGGACGGAGGAAGGAAACATATGATGAAGGGCTGGGTCGGGCTTGGGAAGTATAGTAAGGACGAGAAGAAAG